TCCTACTCCTACTGCTACTCCTCCTCCTCCTGATCCTCCTCTTCTTTCTCCTTCTCCTCCTCTTCCCGCTCCCTCTTCCTTTTTCCCTTCTCCCTCTCTTTCTCCCTGTCTCTTTCAGAAAAAAAAAGTTTGGGACTGTAACTCAGTAACAGAGAGGTTATTTGTGCATGTGTGAGGTCCAACTTAAACACATGTACACCCATACTATGTTTATGTGTGTATATTTAGGAAAAAGAAAAATCAATTTATACCCTAATAACCTACTATATAAAATACCCAACAATATGGCTTTTAATTATGTTCTGTATCTTTTCCAAAATTTCTAAATACTGAGTTGCCATCAATGGAAATTGTAAAGACAAATGTACAAATAGCCTATGTTTAAAACATGGAAAATAAAGTTAAAAGTATAACTATTGTAGAAGAAGAACCAAAAATGTTGCAAGCAATCAAGTTCTCAGGTTAATCTTATACAGCTAGGATACTTTAGGGAAGGACACTTGTTCTTTTAAGCCTAATCTTTTCTACTGTCAATCTGGGAAAAATCAATTGGTTGATCTCCTTCCCATGTCTGAAATTTAATTTATCAAAATTTCCTTTGTTTTATTTTCCATAGAGAAGATGCTCATAGGTAATACTAAATGGTTATTGATAATGTGTAACCACAAAACTCATTTTACTAGCTTGTAGAATTCACATGAACTGCCCCTGTTTGCCCTCCACCTCTTGGTGATGGGTGATGTCTGTTGCAGATTGCTATTGAGGCGATAGAAAACTTCCGAACTGTTGTGTCTCTGACCCTGGAGCAGAAGTTTGAACATATGTATGCACAGAGTTTGCAAGTACCATACAGGTAATAAACACTGAAAAGTGAAAGTGAAGTATGAGGAGTTTTTCAGTCATCAGATTCATCTTCCAAAGCATTACTCTGTCTAGAACAGGACACAAGTGGAGAAAATACGAGAAGTGATCCAACAGGACAGCACCTAGTAATTAACTAGGAGAGAAGCACTCAGATCCCAGTTGGAGAGTGTGTCTCTAACATAGAACTGCAATGGCTGGTGACACACGAGAAGTGGATGGACTGGACAGCCCCAAGTTGCTGTTGTCCAGTTTAGACAGAGATACTATTTGCATCAGTTGAGGAATAGATCTCTTCATGGGGAGTATGCAATTTGAAGTGTCTGTGGACAGTGAGGAGTAGTGCTTCCAAAATAAACTTTTCATAACTTTCCTCACCTCTCCTTTAGTAGAAACCTTCTTCATTGACCATCTGAGTGAGAGTTCTTACTACATGGTGTGCACATAGAAAGCCTAACCACTGTTTCCTCTCTAGTAGAAAGAGGTGGGATTTCTCAATGGGTTGTCAGACATTTTCTGTAGTGATATGTCTAGTGATATGGCCATTTTCCTGCCATTTTTCCTGAAAGGCTGTTATTTGAAATTCAAACATGTGACAGAAAAGCCAGGTCGATGCAGCTGAAGCAGGCATGGGAAGCCAGAGGGCTGCAACTCACTGACCGACTCCTGCCCATCTCCCACAGCCTTGAATTACCTACAGTATTAATTTCTTTGTAATGATGCCTTTTCTGACTCCACCAAGTAAAACATTTTGTCTTTGTTTCTATAGCATGTTATTCATAAAGTGCCAGCACTGGATAAGTGATTATCCAGCTTAACTCCTAGGATTCTAAGGTCAAAGGACATCCCTATTTCTCTATATGACACTACATGAGCCTTGAAATTTGTCCATTTAGTAGATGTGTGTACCACGTAACTGACTACACAGAAAATGTACTCAATGTCTAATGTTTGGGGAAAAGGGAAATAACTTCCATTTATTCATTTCTTATACCTCTGTTCAGAATTCATAGGCTTAGTTTATCATTGTCAACACATAGAAGTATAGTTAACTTATTACTTCATTAAAAATAAAGATACAGAAGCTCAGAGTTGGGGTGCATGACTAAATTTACACAGTTGACGAGTAAAATGAGGATGAAATTTAATTCTTTGAAAAGTGAATCAGTTTTTGCTTGTACTTCTTCTGTGCCTTCTGCCAACCTATGAGAAGTTACATTTTTAGGGCTAAGAAATGAACATGAAGTGATTTTTCAAATGTCTTTACAGAAACTCTTTGAGGAAAGCACACATCTTTGGAATCACATTTTCCTTCACCCAGGCCATGATGTATTTTTCCTATGCTGCTTGTTTCCGGTTTAGTGCCTTCTTGGTGGCACGTGAAATCTTAAATTTTGAAAATGTTATGCTGTAAGTATTAAGTTAATATGGATAGTTTAACTCTGAAAGTATACTTGGAGTCAACATGCTTCTGATCTGGATAGAAAACCTTTTGGTGAAGCCTTCCAAAGAGATTTTGGTGATTGAGATCCTGGCATTTTACCTCTGAATTTCCATGTGTTCCCATAGAAACACTTGTTCATCAGCAACTTCTCATCCCAGTGGATATCACACACACACACACACACACACACACACACACACACACACACACACATCTAATCTTTTTAGTTCTGTGACTGTATGGCTCTTTCTCCTTGGGAGTGTAAAGAGTGCCTTAGTATTTGGGAAGAACCTTAACTTTGAGCCGGGAGGCAGATGGTTCCATAGAACGTACTTTCTAACTGTGTAACTAAGTTGAGGATGTACTGTACCATCATATTCCACACACCCTGGGTGATCCCAGGATAGTTTTCCTTCTGGATTCAAGGTAAAGAGAAGGTTATGAGGTAAATACTAGAGAAATATAAAAATGACCAAGGGAAAATAATGACTTTTTTCCTGCTACACTGTTGTAGATATAGAAAATTATATAATGATCTGCTGAAGTAAAAGTTGAACTTAATTATAGTATGAAAGATTCAAAATAAGTAGTTGGCAGTGAAAACTGCACGATCAGAAAGATCTGTTGGTGACGGAAGTTTTCCTTTCAGAACACACATACAAGTAGCAATACTGGTTAACATTGAAAGCTAAACAGAATAGTAATGTGTTAGTAAAAACATTTTCCTATTGAAGCACTGACTTGTTCATGCCTCTAGCTCAAGATCATTCTAACAGAAGTTCTAAATGTTCTACTTTTTAATATGTATGTCTGACAAATGACATGCAATTGTTACTTATCATTGTGATCAAAAGATCAGTCAGGCATCATAGTCACTGGTGCCTTGACTGAATAATTATTTTATATATTGCTTTACTCAAAGTCTTCGAATGAATGAAAGTTGCTGTCAGTATGTTTATAATATCAGTCTTCCAAGTAAGTTAAGAAGTGTGAGACGTGTTGGCAGAGCAATCTATTTGAGAAAGATCCCACAGGCTGAAATGATAATAAAGGCAAGAGTTACTGTGTCATTTATTTAGAGCCAAGTTAAAAAAGAAAACAGTAACACTAATGGCACAGTGTGCTGCTTTAGCCCATGTGTAGAGTCTGACAAAGAGTAAGTGTTGGATTCCCAGGATTCTGGCAGGGTTCTCACGTACTAGGTCAGTTCCAGGCCTCTGTACTGTTTGGAGACACATTGAGAAACATGTCTACAGAACAGTGAAAAGAGTTACCAGAGAAGCAGCTGATCTTTCAACCATGTTCAGTACTTGAAGGAGTGTACTCTGAAAGAGGAAGTAGATGGTTTTCCAGATTATAAAAAGCTTTTAAATGATGAACTTCTTCAGGCACGCTACTTCCTAATATAGACAGTGCCAATTTAGGCAGACTTAATGAGATCTTCTAAGAAGATATTAGAAGAAGCTTAATGAGATTTTAATGCTTCTAAGATCTTTTCCAAGCTTGAATGGCATTGATTCCCATGATGTAGATTAGAAATGCAGATAAAGTAGTGGCTATTTAGTTAGGTGTGTAAGGAGTTCATTGTTGTACATTCACACGTTTTCTAAGACTTATTTCAGAAACAGTATTCATTGTCTGTTGCCTAGTAATGCCGTGTAACATCCAGCCATTAATCAAGCTTCAGAGACATAGAATGATAAATATTTATTTTGCTTCTACAAAGAGGGAACACTGTCACAAATAATTGCAAAACAAGTTGAAAATAAATAAAGAAATAACTCACAGAACAGTGAGTCAGTTCTGCTAATCTGGGTTGAGCATGGTGGATCTCATCTGCGGACATTCGGGTGTCTTCATTGTATTATGGGCTGACTAGATTAGAAGAGGGAAATGGGGAGAGAGGGAAAATAGGGAGGAAGGGAGAGAAGAGGGAGGGAACAAAGGAAAGAAAGAGGGAGGGAAGGGGGAGGGAAGAAACAGGAGAGAGAGAGTGTGTCCTCTTGAGTAATGAACTTGTTATAGGCAACAGTAGCTTCCACCATATTCTGTGGGCCAAAGCAGGTCACAAATCAATCTGTATTCAGAGGTTGGAGAATATGTTCTACTTCTTAAAGAGACACTCTACAGAGGTTACTTTGGAAGAAGGCAGGGATGCCATGACAGGTGAAAAAGGACCATTTGTAATCAACCTATCACAGTACTTGGAATTTACAGGAACACGTGATGGATTGACTTTTACTTTTTAAGATGTTTTGCAATTATTTGTGATAGTGCTCCCTCATGTAGAAGTGTCAACTTTCTGGCAATGGAGCCATAACTGTGCCTGGGTTTTGTCTTCTGTTGTCCAGGGTGTTTTCAGCCATCGTCTTTGGTGCCATGGCAGTTGGGCAGTTCAGTTCATTTGCCCCTGACTATGCCAAAGCCAAAGTGTCAGCTGCGCACATCCTCATGATCATTGAAAAAGTCCCCGCCATTGACAGCTACAGCACAGAAGGCCTGAAGCCGGTGAGTTTGAGGTTTCCACTGGATGATCTGTGCCTAATTGCTGAATGGAAGCATTCAAAGGGGAAATGTAATAAAATGTGTAATTTCCTATATGATGCTCATAATGCAAAATGTTTGGGTCATGAGTTTCTTTTACTAAGTGCTATTAATATGTTCTGACTTTTACATGACAAAGTTTCAGAAAGTTAATATTGCCTGCTTTACAAATAAATCCTACTAATCATGTTCTGTGATATGTAGGTTACTGGCTTCTGGAAAACAGATTTATGTCATTTGTATTGTTCTGGAAAACAGATTTATGTCCTTTGTATTGTTCATTTATATTACATTAACAATGCCTGCCATTAAAGCAGTGACATTTATATCATATTTATTGAATTCTGGCTGTTTCAAATGAATTTTAACCCCAATGTTCTGTTTCTCTGAAAATAAGACCTAGCTAAAAAATAACTAGCCTTGAAAACAAAAGATCAAAAATGCCAGCCCCAGTAGACCTTATCTGCCTTATAGAACAGCCACCACACAAGAAAATAATGACGACAGGTAAGGAAGGGATGGGCTGAGGGCAGTTTTGATCTTTGGTTTTCAAGACTGCTATTTTCCTGATAGGTCTTACTTAACAAGGTAGGAAGGAGTTCACTGCATTCTGATACTTGGTGGCTGAGGGGGTTAGCTCTGGCCAGTGCATTGCAGTACTCAAACTCTGTTGCTGTTCTTATTTTAGAATATGCTGGAAGGAAATGTGACCTTCCGTGATGTTGTGTTCAAGTATCCCACACGCCCAGACATCCCGGTGCTTCAGGGTCTGAGCCTGCAGGTGAAGAAGGGACAGACGCTGGCCCTGGTGGGCAGCAGCGGCTGTGGGAAGAGCACGGCGGTTCAGCTCCTGGAGCGGTTCTACAGCCCCTTGGCCGGGACGGTGGTGAGTGCTTGCCCGTTCAGTTCATTTCAGGCTTTGCATCATCTAACCACTTGGATGTGATTCATTCTTCATGACACACCAGCGTTTTTCATGCCCTTAAACCACTTAGACAGTGTCCAATAGCTTAGGTTTGGCTTTCAGGCTGTGTCATCTGCCCAAGCTGACTTCTCCATCGTCTCTCTCAATGTTCCTCCTCACCCACCTTTGTGAACACCTTTCTTACCATATATGTCTCTTGCCAGTGTTAAATTTCAGCAGACAACAAAGAGGCAACAGGAGGTGAAGTAGCTAGAAAGCCAGAAAGGGTGAGAGGAGAAACAGGAGATAAAAGCCAAGGAAAAGGCATGTTTCAAGGAGGTGCAGATGATAGGTCGGTAAGGGCAGATGCTGTAGAGAAAGTAGGTAAATGAGGTCAGATGTACCTGGTAGCCTCCTGCATTCATAAGCTCTGACATTTATGCTCAGGGAGGTGCTGAGGGTCATAATAACAATTTTAAATTCTTGAATTGTGCCCTTAGCATGGATCTGGCTTTGACTGCTTCCTTTGTTCTCCACTGAAAGTGAAGACATATCTTTAAGTGGACATGTGTGCTGGACCGGAAGTTGATGTGTGCACTCTTCTTTTCAGTTCGTGGATGACAAAGAAATACAGCAACTGAACGTGCAGTGGCTGCGAGCACAGCTGGGCATTGTGTCCCAGGAGCCTGTCCTGTTTGACTGCAGTATCGGGGAGAACATCGCCTATGGAGACAACAGCCGGACTGTGTCACAGGAAGAGATTGTGAAGGCAGCCAAGGAGGCCAACATCCACCAGTTCATTGAATCACTGCCTGATGTAAGTGTCCCTCCAGAGTAAGAACCCAGGAGCATGTGAGTCTCGCTTCCTTGACCTTTGTTTTCTTCTTTTCTTTTTAAATTTTATTTACTTATGTATATATTTATTTGTTTACTTTATTTATTTATGGTACTGGGGGTAAAACTTGGGACTTTGGGCTTGCTAGGCAATCACTTATGTTGCTGAGCTTTCAACTATCCCATAGTTTTTGTTTTTTTGAGACAGAGTCTTACTATGTAATTCAATTCTTGATCTTACCATGTGGCCCAGGTTGGCCTCAAACTTGCAGTTTGTTGTCCTTTTCCAGCCTTCTAAGTGTTAGGATTACAACGGTGCACCACCATGCTAGGCTTTCTTTTCTTTTTTTCTCTTTCTTGCTTTTCTTTCTTTCTCTTTCTTTTTTCCTTTCTTCCCTCCCCCACCACACTTATTCTTTCTTTGTCACACTGAGGATCAAACCCAAGGCCTGACAGATTCAGTCATTCTACACTGAGCTGTACTGAAAGCCTCAGATTACACTTCCTATCCCAGTGAGCAACTTGTTTACTTTGTCATTTGAATCTCTCTGAATGGAAGCAAAAAAATGTATGAGGGCTCTACTAGTTTTAATGCTAGAAATAAGTAGTCTAGAAGATTTTTTTTTAAGTCCAAATCCAAGACCTATGGGAAGCATCTGACCATGATGCTTCTGGTACTGCTTGAGAAGCAGATGTGATGGTCCCGTCTCTTTTTACTTCCTTCTACCTCCTTGCAGTACTTCTTGAAGCTTTAAGCCTGGCTCTGTGAAGTTAGGACAGGCCAGAAAAATGGACCCATGGAAGAAAGAGGGCTCTCTGTCTGAATGTCTATTGGGGCAACTGTGGTATCTTACAATCTCTAATTGTTGTACATCATGTTGGCCCCAAATTCCATTTGTAGGGTTGATTGTTGAAAGCTTCCTTAGGGTGTTGTCTTATGGATTTATTTTCCCTATCAAGTTAGATAAGTATAACCACTCACCACTTCTTGGGGCTGGTTAGTTTCCTGTCCTTTGAAAAGCATAGCAATTTAACTAGTCTGTCTCTTCCCATATTAATTGTTATTTTGTTAATTATAAGATATACCCCTGAAAATGAAGCCCAGTAATCTCCACCTGATGAGGAAGGCAGTCTGCTCAAGTGAAGGGTAGCAATGCCAAATGCCCTAACCTCCCACGATATCCCTTTTGTTTACTCTCTCTCTCTCTCTCTCTCTCTCTCTCTCTCTCTCTCTCTTTCTCTTTCTCTCTCTCTTTCTCTCTCTCTCTCGCTCACTGGGGCTTGAACTCAGGCCCTTGCACTTGCCAGGCAAGCACTTGTTCTACTGAGCTGTTTCCCTGGCCCCCTATATTCTCATTTAGATACCACTGCCTCCAATCACAAGCTGCAGAAGAGGAGTCCCTTTTTCCCTTTAACAGTATAGTCCAACCATGGACAGTTAGCTATTCTCGAAGCTTAGCACTGAAAGTATAAAATTATGACCCCTTGTGCTAATGAGCAATCAGTAGTTCTCAAGGGATAGACATGAGAGCATTGTTAGAAGTGGAGATCATAGATCTGTTGTGGTAGCACACACCTGTAATCCCAGTGCTGTGGAAGCTGAAGACAGGAGGATCACTATGAGTTTGAGCTGCTTAGTGAGACCCTGTACCAAATACTTTTTTTAAAAAAGAAAGAAAGACAGATCTTTGCGCCCCACCTTATATGTACTGACTAAGCAATTTTGGCAGTAGAATGCAATAGTATGGGATTTTATAGCCTGGGTGATGCAGATTATAAAGCATAAACATAGTGATTGTTATCCAGTATTTCATTATCACCTGTTACTCTGGTGTTTGCCTATCACAAAGATTCCACCTTTCTGGATTCTTCTGTATCTGTCACACAGCACACCTGCAGACATTGTAGGTCTTTTTTTCCATGTCTAGATCAATATACTAAGTCCTGCTATCTATCTGCAGATCTACTTCTGAGCGATTAGAACTAGGATTCACCTAACCCTGCAGAGGCTGGCATAATTCCTCATTCCTATGGGGCTGCTACATTGTCCTCTGCCTCAAGAGGATCAGTACTATATCAGTGCAACCTGGTAACACCTACACTCACATGAGAAACACTTCTGTATACCTGCCTTCTGAAACAGCAAAGCTCCATGATGGAGTTAGTTCTGAGTCTGCCAAAACAACAGCAGGGGAGTTCTTACTCTGTTGTCAAGTGGGAAATCTTGTTCTGAATACCACAGACCAGGCATGGGTATGGTAGATATCACAAATAAAAATGCTGGTACCACATATCAAAACCTTTGGACACAAAAGCAGTTCTTAGAGGGAAGTTTATAGATGTGAACGCCCAAATCAGAATTACAAAGTGAGCTCAAATAACTTAAGGATGCACCTAAAGGTCCTAAAAAAAAGAACAATCCAAATACAAAACTACTATAAAAGAGGAAACTATAAAGATCAGAGCTCAAACGATTGCAAATTAAAATAGTAAAACAATTCAAAGAGCTGGTTCTCCAAAAGAACAATCAAAAGAAACAAATCCTTAGTCAGTTTTACCAAAGAGAGAGTGAGAGTGAAAATAAGGACCCAAATCAATGCAATCAGAAATCAGAACAGACATTGCTGAAATCTAGAGGATTATTACTGATTGAATACTTTGAAAATGTATATTCCAATAAATTGGAGAATCCAGAAGAATGAATAAATTTCTGGATACATTTTAATCATGAAAACTGAACCAAGAAATATGAAATTTCTGAATAATTCAACAACAGGCAATACAATTGATGCCATGTTAATTAAAAAAAAAACCCTACAAAGGAAAGCCTAGGACATAATGCATTCACCACTGAACTCTATAAGAATTTCAAGGGATATTTGACACCAATAGCCCTCAAACTCCTTAATGAAACTGAATGGAAAGGAGTACTTTCAAATTTATTCCAGGGAGCTACCATTACACTGATTCCAAAACCAGACAGAAGTCCAACCAAAAAGAATTACAGATTTCTTTCGCTTACCAATACAGCTTCTAGTTGCATCCATTTATCTACAAAAGCCTCAAATTTATCTTTTTTTATAGCTGAGTAATACTTCATTGTGTTAAAATACCACATCTTCTTTATCCATTCCTCAGTTGATGGGCATCTGGATGGTTTCCAAGATTTAACAATGACAAATTGTGGTACTATAAACAAAGGCACACATATATCACTGTGATATGATGATTTCAGTTCTTTTGGAAAGATACCTAGGAGAGGAATATCTGGGTTGAATAGGTACTCCAATCCTAGGTTTTTGAGGAATATCCATACTAATTTCCATCATGATTGTACCAGCCTGAACTCCCACCAATAGTGGAAAAGAGTCTCTTTTTCTCCACAGTCTCTCCACCATTTGTTATTGATTAACCTCTTAATGATAGTTATTCTTTCTGGTATAAGATAGTATCTTAGTATTGTCTTAATTGGTATTTCTTGAATGACTAATGATTTTGAACTTTTTTATATATTTATTTGCCAGTTGTAGCTCTTGATTTTTTGAACTGTATATTCATCTCAGATGCTCATTTTTGGATTGAGTCTTTGCATTTTGGAGGCTCGATGTTTTAAAATTCTTTGTATGTTCTAGATACCAGTCATTTGAAGGAAAGTCTGCTTTAATTTTTTCCCAATTTGTGGATTCTTTCCCACTGGTCATTTCTTTTGATTTGCAGAAATTTTTCAAACAGATTAGATCCCAACTGTTAATTCTTTGAAGTACTTCCTATGCAGTATGATTTTTGTTCAAGAATTTTCTACCTACTTTCTACCTTATGTCCTTAAGATTGCTACCTATGTTTTCCTCCAGAATATTTAGTGTTTCTGTTTTCATATTTAAATCTTTGATCTATTTTGGCTGTACTTTTGTGGCTGGTGATAGGAATAGGTCTAGTTTTAGTCTCAGCATGTGGAAAGGCAGCTTTTCCAATACCATTTATTAACAGGCTCTCTTTCCTCCAGTGAATATATTTGGCCCCATTGTCAAAGATAAGGTGGCTGAGAACCTGAAAGAGTAAATAAAATCTGAAAGGTACAGTAGATACTGTGAAAGGTAAAGAATTTGTTCAATGGGAAAGATAAACTGGGATAAGGAGAAGGACAAAAGAAAGAAGGGAAAAATGTATATTTATGTATGTATGCAGGATACTTTGAATAATTATACTGTTGGTTTTTGCTGGTCTTTTGAAGGGAGCAGTTAATGCATAAATTTTTTTTTGTTTTTAATCTCTTATAACTTTTGTTGTTTTGTTTTTGTTTTTTAAAACCAATTATGCATGTTTATATCTGGAAACCTTAGCAACCAATTTGAAGATAATATCATTCAATACAGCAACCATTGTTGAATTCCTATTATTTTGTTTAGTAAAATTTTGTATTATTTCTAATGATATTTTTATCAGTATTTTGTATTTTTTTAAAAGGCAAAAAGAGAACTACCATGAAATCACTTTTAAAATTTTATTTATTTATTTATTTATTTATCTATTTACTTGATACAGGGTCTCATTATGCAACTCAGACTTGTAGTGATCCTCCTGTCTCAGCCTACCTAGTGCCAGGATTACAGGCATGTGCCATCACATCTAGTTTCAGAGGCCAGTGCAGCACACCTGTAGTTGTGTGGCCAGTACCAGAGATTGAACTCAGGTCCTTGCACTTGCTAGGCAGGTGCTTAGACTGCTGAGTTGTCTCCCCAGTCCTACCAAGTAATCTCTTAAATGAATATTAGATGCAAAAGTATTGATATACAGAATACAGAAAATCATCAAAACCATCATATGTCTCAACCTTAGTGAGCTTCATGGCAGGGATGCAAAGGTGGTTCAACACATTCAAATCAGTAAATGTAATCCAACACATAAACGTAAGGCCAGAAGTCACATGATCATCCCAAAAGACACAGAAAAAAGCCTTGACAAAATCCAACATCAATCTATTCA